GTCACTCAATCAAGTCCGGTGGTAAGGTCTCATCGTAACTAACAAAACGAACCCAAACTCGGCACACCTAGTTCTACAAGTCTAGGAGTTCCACTTGTAATCACTGAACTACATCTTCAGGTCACTCCATCAAGTCCGGAGATATGGACTCGTCATAACTAACAAAACGAAGCCCAAATTCGGCACACCTAGTTCTACTCGTTCAGAAATTCCAGCAGTAGTTACTGAATTACCCCTTCAGGTCACTCTATCAAGTCCGGTGGTAAGGTCTCATCGTAACTAACAAAACGAACCCAAACTCGGCACACCTAGTTCACCACGTCTAGGAGTTCCAGTTGCAATCACCGATTTAGACCTTCAGGTCACTCCATCAAGTCCGGAGGTATAGACTCGTCATAACTAACAAAACGGAGCCCAAATTCGTCACCCCTAGTTTTACTCTGCAAAAAGTTCAACTAGCCGTCACGTAAGTACACCTTCAGGTCACGCCATCAAGTCCAGAGGTAAGGTCTCATCATAACCAACAAAACGAGCCCAAACTCGGCACACCTAGTTCCGCTCGTCCACGAGTTGCAGTAGTAGGTAAGTTTATATATCCTACTTATTTTTAGCTAAATAAAAACTGTGAGTATAAAAATAATAATTTTATCACTTGTCAAGTACTTATGTTTCCAATTTGTTTTTTTCTAATATTTTGTGTACGTACAGCGATCTTTTCAGAATGAGCCGCTGCAAACAGGCGATACAGTGTCCACTCACGACGGCGGCCGAGCGCGGACTGTGGTTTCATCGAAATCTTTGTACAATAAATCAAAGCAGGCACCAACAATAAAATAGCCCTTATTGCAATACATTATGATTCATCCGTATTACCAAAATATGTGAAAAAATGTGCATCAGTTTTTATTTTTTTTACGACTATTTGTGACATTTTGTTAAAAAATAAACCCAGGGTTTTTTAATTGAATATGTCTGTCATCTTATAGTATTTTTTAATTTTTTTTAAATATGTTGATAATAGACCAAAACATGTACCGAAACACAAGCCGGTATCGTTAATTTTGTAGAAAATGGCAACGAAAGTTCGTTTTTACAATATAAAAAACTACTATTTTTCAACAAAAGAGTTACAGACATTTGCAGATGAAGAACCAATCTATACATGGTAGTTTTTACTTATATTTGATTTGGTTTAGTTTTGTCACAAAATCTACCGAAAAACACCCTAATTTTGGTTGATTTGCAAACGCGTCCTTAAGTGACACAAGCTCAGATCATATAAAAATATTCTTATATCTATGGACACAAGTAAGTGAATGCGCAAACCTAACCCACCCTAGTCTGATTAACCTATGAAATAATATCGAAGGTAGGCTGTGATTTTGTATCCAGATACGAGGAAAATCAAAACAACGATTTTTGCACGGATGCTGGATTTTGCCGGTTGGTATTCGAATGGAGGACCGAAAAATCCACGGCTTTATACTTCTGACTACTAAGCCATACGGTCATTGCATACAGTCATGTCATTTAAAACAGACTATCACAAGTCCACTGTTACACACAGCCCTCATCCATATGTTGCCTCTGCTAGCAGGCTTTATCAGAAAGATACCATTGTTATACGGTTATATCCTTGCTTCATTTTAATTTTCATGAAACTGAAGCAAAGATAGAAGTATCACTTTTTGTACTTAATTAATTAGTGGTCAATTACATTTTCCTTTAAAAGTTTCTTTTTTATATCAGGAGTAAGTGAATCAACGCGAGTAAATAATTGTGTCATTTATATTTTTTTAATCGTATTTTACTTTTTTACCTTTTATATTTCTAGCTACGGCGCGGTGGGTTTCGCAGGTTGAACGCCTAGCAGGGTCGCCGTGTAATCTCTGTCTTAGTACGTGTAATCTTAGTCTTTATACTACCTCATTCCAAACATAAATATTGGAGTAAAGTTTGGAATGAGGTAGTACAATTATTAAATCGTGTGGACTACACACTACATTTTTTATATAATTAGGATAACAAACAAGCACACACTCCACCTGATGGTAAGTAAATACAGTGGCCCATATACATGTAGATGTTATTCATCCTCGATTAAGAATTAGAATGCAAATTCCTTGTTACCTTTGCGTAATAAGATGGAATGCCTCGTATCCAGTAAAAATGATCTTCGGTTCTCTACACTCACCACACGAAACACAGCAGCATTTACGCTGGTATTCTGTGAGCGCATGGACCCTCCCCTCTTAAAGTCCTTTACATACTTCTTCTTTCATAATAACATTATATTATATACTTCGTATTTGTTCTTTCCTAATCTTTATGTGAAGAACTGTACTCGAAATTTTATTATCCAACACGCAGACTGCAGACTTTTAAATGTCCTTAGAATACTGTAATGGATATTAATCTTCCAATTTTTTGACATAATTCATCAATTTGTTAGTATAAGCGTAATTTGTAATATTTTTATTTTTATTTTTCTTATTATACTTATGTACAATTAATATATAATTAATGTTAACACTTAAAATTGAAGTAACGAACAAACTTACTATCCGTCTGATAGTAAGTATCTGCTGCTAACGTAGTTGCTAACCTCGTACAAAGCAGGCTGCAGATGGGTACGACGCGTGTCACCGCCGAGGACTAAGATGGACCTACTTAGCCTAGAGAAATCTAAAAAGAATGTTTGTAAGAAATGCCAGATGTAAGCAAGCGGTGTTTACTTGTGTAGATTTTTGGTCATTGGTCTTTCTCAGATTGGATGACACCGATGGGACGAAAAAGGGTAATAGGGATCTATTACCCTATGACGTCCCTAAAATACACAGATCGGCGACAAAGAGTAGCGGGTATATGACGTCGGAACTTTCTTACATGTCAGAAATTTTATAGTTTTGGCAATATGTATTCTTATTTAATACAATAATTATAAGTTTCCGTGGTGTAGCGGTTATCACATCTGCCTAACACGCAGAAGGTCCCCGGTTCGATCCCGGGCGGAAACATTTTTGGTACTTTTAAATGTTTACGATAAGTGGATCTTCTGGGTATGTGATTGTTTCTGGCATCGGCAGTAGTCGTTTCTTATGACAGTCAAATAGAGATTGTCTTACATCGATACCACCTCACGCACAAAGAAATTATAAAACGAGTTTTATTAAGATATTTCAATATCACGATTATTCATCGCAACAATTAACTTTTTTTGTAACAAGCATTTAAAATACAAAAGTTTGATAAACAAGTCCCTTTTAGTCACTTAGACGCCTTTCACACCTTTAGACACAAATATCTGTAGACCACACAAGTCGTTCAATGACCGGAGTATAAAAATTTATTAACGAACCGTGGCATCAACGATATATGAACATTGTATCGTTGATACCATGGTCCTGCTACGTTTTTACTGCGAATCAGGCATGTTTGTAACCGCAAAAGTAGATGACTTCTGCACTATTATGCGGAAAAAGTCTGCCTTGATGGTGATGCGACTGCGGGAGAGTACCTTTCAGTAAAGTCTTGAGGATGATAGAAAAAAGGATGGACTGCTTTCTTAAGACAGTACGTATATTGTTTTACACGTTAAAAGACATCTGAAGCTATGAATCGATCAAAAGCACAATTTCTTATAATTACTATTTTCATTTTATTTTGCTAAAGTAATTTGGATCGCCATAAATATCACAGTTCGCGAGTAATCCTGGTTCGAACCCCGCTGGTACCAATGAAAATGTCAATATGCAGTTTTAATTACTGATTTATCACGTGCTCGGCGGTGATGGAAAACATAATAAGAAAACCAGCATGGCTCAGAAATTAAAGTTATATATATTTCACAGACATATTAAGTCCGTCTGCATGCATTGAGGCAGCGTGATAGATATTTCCTTGCTGCAAAAACCCTCTCAGTAAGAAGAGGATGACTGCATCCAGGAGTGAAATAGGACGTACATTACTATATAGGTTGTAACTTTTTTTATTATTTAATACTACATAGATGTAAATTGTAAATTAACAAAAATGTTCAAGTTTGGTCTCACATTAAACAGTTATAATTTTTTTAATTATTTAATTGCAAATAAAATTTTATTTAGCTACTTACACCTTTTTATATCGAAAGAACTAAAAAATGAACTTATTTCATACATAAAAATATGTAAACATTTCTCAAAGAGAGGCAAAAAGAAGTCTATGAACGAGTGTTTTAACGGATTCCTTGGCAAATTTAGGCAAAACTCAAAACGTTTGATGTTAGTGTTTGTATTATAGTTTTTTTTGTATTCATAGTCAAAATAACTATATTACTGGTGGAAATATTTTTGCTTTATAATACTAGGTATACTTCATTTCTTGATTTCTCAATGTGCGAGATTTAAAAAAATGTGAACAATCCATTTCATGATTATAGCAAATGACATGTGGCATGAATGCGTCGTCAGCTCGACCGGGGTAGGGCAACGCTCTCGCGGAATAACGGCGAAAATTAAAGTTAACTGCTACTGTATTTCATATGGTCAGTGAGAAAATCAGACACCCTTTTTACTGGAAATGAGGTATTCTATCTTAGTTCTCACGAATGACTAAGAATCTGCATTTTTGTTCCTTAATTGAGCATAAATGTAGATGTTTATGGGCCACTGTATCTAACCAGTGAACTGTGTGCTCGTTTGTCACACTTATTAAAAAAAAAAACAATTATTATTTCTTATTCCTTTTGTCAAAAAGCAAGAAATAATAGTTAATTTCCGATAAAATGTATTTTAAACCATACCTTACGACATTTGTGATTTCTTTCACAGGTTCCTTAGCAGCACGTGAGTGGCGATGTGGTAGATGTGCGCGCCGAGTTAATAAAAACCGGCGGCGGCGCGCCTTCAAAATTACCTAAGCCGCGGCGTGAACATTTTATCTTATTTTCGTGTAATAACTGTAAATTTAGGTAATATTTTAAAAACAATCCCGTTCTTGAAAAATTACTTTATTTAAAATCAAAATAAAGCAAGGATCACGTCTTTGACATCAGTTGCGATATATTTCCAGACTTCTTGGTCGATATATTCAACACTCTCTGAATTATGACGGGAGTTATATTTGCGAGACAGCTGAGTTAGTAGCGATTCCTTACTTGTACTTGGGCTTTGGATTACTTGTGGATCTTCACTTTGGTCTCGAGCAATGGATTTTATTTCTGTTGCGCGATCCACTAAGAAAGACGCAGGTGTCTTCCCTTTGGCTTCGAGGTATGTGTTTATTTCTTTAAGCCTCATAAATCGGCAGTCTAGCAAAGCTGCAGTGACAAGTGTTTCTGTTGTCGGGAACCTTTTATCGAAGTTGGCCAACATATTGTTTTTCAAAGCCAACATGATCAATGTTTCGTCATCTGCAATTAAATTAAGCACTTCCTTTAACTCCGTTTTGAAAACAAGTCCGAGATTAATAGTGCATCTTTTTTGAGATGATTAAACCTCCAACACTTCTCGAAACTTGCCAAAAAACTTTATCAAATCTTCAAGCAAATTCCGTTCCATTTGCACAATTTTGAGGTCATCTTGGCCGATTCTTCTCAAAATGTTGTTAATGAGACTTCTGTTACAACAATGTGCCATACTTTCAAGCATCTCTAGGACACTATGCCAACGTGTGGGTGTAGACGTTTTAATGCTAGGAACATTTGACAAATTTCCGAAAAGAGAACGATCTTCTTCAACTTCGTTTTCACTCCCGCAAATAGGATCATTTACATCGTCTTCAACAGTTTAAGCTGCTGTTTCTATAAGGTTTAAAAACTTCTTATGTTCGTTATCTGCATCTTTCTCTAAATCTGGCAATCGGTATCTTACTGCTTTTACTATTTTTTGCATTTAACAACTAAGCTTAAAATTTCTGCAGTTTTTTTATCTCATCTACAATGACAAGATTATGGAGACCATGGCCTAGGCAAAGATGGCTATCAATATTCGCCAATGTAAGTGCCCGTTTTACATTAGCTCCTGCGTCGGTTACACTGCAAAGCTTCTTGTCAGTGATTGCAAACTCTTTTTTTGTTTCGTTTATTGCTTTCTGTATCTTTTCTCCACTCTTAACATCTTCCATTAGTTTAGTTTTAAGCGTGAAAGTTTTCAGCTCAAAGTCTGAAATAAAAAGAAAAGGATTGGCAGAACTAAGCAGGAGAAAGCAAAACATATAATTCAATTACAATTAGGTTAAGGTAGAGTATGATAGGATTGAAAGAAGTTATACATAAATTCGTTAGGAAAGGTTATGCCGTGAAATAATATGTACTTTAGTGAATAAAAGTGTCAAAGTCTTTACCGTCAGTCAGGTAGTGCAATGTAAAAGTAATATAATTGAGACGTCTATAGCTGTCTGTCCATAAATCGAAAGTGATTGCTAGTTAGAAATGCATTATCGGTTAATATTTGGATCTTTACGTTATGAAGCATACTTTCGTAAACATCGTCTAATCCAGCTCGACTGACTGAATCACGTGAATGTCTGAAGTGATATTAATTATTCCATATATCTGAAACACAAACATGAATAAATGAATATTAATTGTAGCTATTTATTAATTATTAACTATTAAGAGTAAGCTAGGTTAATAAAGCATGATTCTGTCAAATGTTAAAAAGCATACACAACCTTAAAAAAATCTTCCATTCCTTCGTCATCAACTGAATCAAATGGCATCAAAGACTTGCACATCCACAAAGATAAATCTCTCGTCAATAGCCATTTGTCAATTGGTGGTTTGGGTGGAATATCTGTGCGAACAGCTATAGGCAAAGTAGACTTGGAACGGCGGTCAACGTTGAAAAAATCTTTAATATTTGTTTTTGCCCTATCCGCGTCCATTTATGTTCGAATTTTGTGTTCATCGCGAAGATGTCGCATTAAGTTGCCAGTGCTCACCGTCTTACTATATGATTTGATGTTTGCGCTGAAACAAATCCACAAGAATTTCACACAAAAATATAGCCAGCAATAAAATCAAATACCCATAACCAGTCTCATGTAGATTATAGGTAGGTAGGTAACTATTATTGTTAGGATTTTCGTTTATACAGCAATTATTTACCTAAGTATAACATTATTTTGTTAGAGAAAAAGTGTTACGATTCTTTTTTTATTTCAGTATAGTGTTTATAAAGTGTGTCAATATAAATTCGTTTCTCGACTCCTACTCATAACCATAACCACAAGACTAAAAGGTTTGAGGGGTTGCGGCGGGTCTATTGGGATTTCGGCCTTTGGCTCGAGATGATGCAGTAAATTTGATTTAATAACTGTTTTAATAAACATTATCGTACGAAATGAAGATTAATGCACTTGTAAATAGTTGCACTATATATGGTAACATTAACTAAGCAGGTAAACACAACACGCGATTTATGATAAATAGTTTAGTTTGACGCCGCCACAGAAGATGTCAAAGCGTGTAAGATCGGACAAAAAAAAATAGTGGCAAAAGTAAGTTTCGTGCTGTATTTACTATGATTATTTAATATTTCACTTTATAAATAACCAAATACAATTATTTGAAATTCATTATACTTTATTAATAAAGTTAATAAATTAAGTGGCCGAAAAGTGACACATAAAATTGTCTTATTATTTGGTTGTCGGCCATGCGGCCGAAAAGTAGCCTGAGTTTAGCCTAAATACTTTTTCTCTTTCGTTTATTTGGTTACGTACTCATCTTTCTTATTTATATTGAATCGTAGCGTGCGTAGACACTAACTTTCAGTTTTCGGCCACTAAAGACTGCAATTTGAATAGTTAGTGACGAAACAAAAATATCCATTTCAGTCGTGACCGAAAACTGGATTGACTCTAAAATATTTATTTAGTTTTCGGCCAACTTAAAATTGTATGAAAGAATACGGCGGCGGAAAATAGAATGCTGTCTTAGTTTACGTTTACGGCCATTTCATCAAATATTTTATTCACATTGCGTTTTAGGAAGAAGATTCAACAAGAATTTTTTTTCTTCAGATGGCTCCTCCAAAGAAATATAATAAGTAAATGGCTTCAGAAAATGCGGACTTTATTAAATAGATCTCAATGCAGTGGATTACTCAAATTGAGTCCAGAAAACCCTGGAAAGACTAATCGGTGATAATTAAAAGAAAGAATAAATATTTCTAAAGAAATAACTAACGCAGACGTAGTTTCCACTAGAAAAGTTTAGAAACATTTTAAATCAACTTTGGCAGAAAAAAAACATAAATGTTGCTATTATAGTGAATGAGATAAGGAAATTGAAACGAAAGTCTTCTCAGATCAATATTGTTCCACACAGACAGGCCAACGAAGACTTGGAAATTCTCCAATCAAGCAATATAAAACCACTAAGTCCATTTAAGTCTCCAGAAAGTCTGTGCAACACAGATTAAGATAAAAATATTCTAACTCACGATGTTGTGTTAACTATTTATTCATCTACCGATGCATCAGAATCGTTAATCGATAACAGAATTTCAACATTGCATTTGTCAGGAAGTTATTTGGATATTGGTTCCTAAGTATCGTTATATGATGTTCTTGTAATCCAAACTCAAATAAGCCTACCAACGACAACAGTACTGACAATGCCTGAAATGATAATAGATTTCAGTAATGAAACAATAACGACTCAAATCACCACGATGATACCACTACAAACACCGACGATAACAAACAAGATCTCTGAAACTTTAGAAAATGTGTGGGTTTATATTCCAACTAAACAGACTAGTACACCTCTACAAACTAGTGCAATATTGGTTTCATAAACACTCACGCCTGTCACCTAGAGGGGTAGGCAGAGACTACAGACTTCCATTTGGCACGACCCTGACACACCTCTCTCGCCTCCTTCACATCCATACACCTACGCATGCATGTTCGTCGGTTAAGGGTACTCCTAATTTGGCCCGTTTTCAATAAATCGCCAATTTGGTCGATACATTTTCGCCTAGGACGTCCCTTTCCGACTCTGCCATTCACTTCTGCAACATAAATTTTCTTTGTCACTCTTTCCTCATCCATTCTTTCCACATGACCAAACCACCGAAGCATTCCTTTCTTAATCCTGGTCACAACATCATCTTGCCAACCACACTCTTCTCTTATCAAACATTTTTTCACCCTGTCATTCAGATTCAGCCCTAACCGCATTTCTACTGCATTTATTCTACTCTCGTGCTTCTTCCCCAACTTTCACTACCATACGTTAAAGTAGGGACCAACACAGCTTTGTGAATTGCCATACGTGCCTTTTTTGACACGTTTTGACTCTTCACAATAGAGTATAGGGCCCCATTTACTCTATTTCCTGCGTTCACTCGTCGTTCTATATCCTTATCATATCTCCCATCCCTGCTAAATACGCAACCCAAATATACAAACTCATCTACTTGCTCGATCAATTCCCCATCTATTCTTATTTCACATATCGTTTTACTTTCATCTCTTTCAAAAACCATAATTTTCGTCTTACTTGCGTTCACTTTCATAACCCTTTCTTTTAATGATCTGTTCATTAATGTAACCATCATTTGCAACTCAGCCGCCGACGACGCAAGAATAACTTGATCATCGGCGTACAAAAGGCATTTGATGGTTAACTCACCCATTCTTAATCCGCATTCTTCAACTTTCAAATTTTGCAAACAACTGTCCATAAATAGGTTGAACAACCACTGGGAAGCCACACAGCCCTGTCTGACACCTTTATGGATGCCAAACCAGTCCGAGTAGACCCCGTTGATCCTAACACAAGCACTAGAGTCCCTATAAAGAGACCCAAATGAGTTCAGTGTTTGCCATAGCACATTCCTATCCACTCTGTCATAGGCCTTGTCCAAGTCCATGAACGCACAAAAAACCTTTTGGTTTTTGGCCAAAAACTTCTCTGCGATCATGCGCATGGAGAAGACTTGATCTGTACATCCCATTCCCTTTCTAAATCCCACTTGCACATCCCAAATTTTTCCATCGGTTTCTTTTATGACCCTTTCAATTAGTACCTTGGCATACAGTTTTACCACGATGCTAAGAAGGCTGATACCGCGGTAGTTTTTACAGTCCTGCTGCGACCCTTTTCCCTTATATACTGGGACTATTACGGCTTTGCACCAATCTCACGGTACTCGTTTCAGTTCCCAGCATAAATTAAACAAGGTGTGCAGCAGGCTTGCCACCACTTCCTCTCCAGCCCTTAGCATTTCGAGTGAAACTCTATCATATCCAGCAGCCTTACCTGCTTTCATGCTTTTTATTGCTTTCATTATTTCATCTATACTTATTTCGCTACCTCCTTCCTCTACTTTCGGAGTTCCTATTGCATTCAGTTCATACGTTGTCTCCTCACTTATAAACA